TCTTTAAGTGGAATGACTCCCAGCAGAACCATTAGGAGCCAGACATCGATATTTTTTTTTTTTTTCAAGGACATGTCTCCCTTTTAGCAATAAACCTAACAAGTGCTGCATAGACCTTACCAAATGTCATAAATTGACCTTGATAGTGTCTAAGACATTAAATTCACCATAATATCACAAGGTTATCTCCTTCAGTCACATTTATGGAGATGACATCTGCTGGGTGGCGTACAGAAAAATATAGAATAGGCAGGCTGAGTTTAAATCCCCTTAAAGGCTCTTGTTTTTATCTTGTACTAATATGCATGAATCAGTCTCTCTTCCCACCAAGTCATGTGTAAAATAAAAAAGTAAAATAGAATCTGTAGACATTTTAAGGAAACTAGTTGAAGAGAAAGGCCATTTATTAACACACTATGGGTCAGCTTGGTTGGATAAAACTTATCTGACGGATTTGGTTAAGAGTTGTGAGAAAAAAAAAGTTAATTATTAATGAATTATTTATGATCATAAAGGACCCTTATATTTAACATCAGGAAAAGACATTTCTGGGATATATAATGAGGAAAGAGGGCTTGTAAAATTTGATACTCACAGGACAGATTGAAGGCAAGAGGGACAGTAAACAACACATAACCTACCTAGCAAGCTTGAATAAATGAATAGCAGGGTTAGGGTGAGGAGAGATAACAAAGATAATTTATTAAGGGCTACAAAGAACAAAAAATTGCGGAGAGCCATGATCACCAACGTCCTGAAGGGACATGAAATTTAGAAGAAGAATTTTTAATCAATGAAATTGGTTTATTAGTTTTTCTTGAAAAGGTGATCGGGAAATTTGTCCAAAAATTAAAAATGATTGTGCATTTTTAAAGAAATGCAAACAATTTCTATGATTACAGAAGTTAGTTATCAATCTTACATCAGGAAGAATCTACTAATGCCATAAGGGGTCCTTGAAGATCATGTGACAGACTGTTGTGGGAGATTGTCAGACTGTAAAGTTGATAAATAATAAGGAAGCCTTCCTTGTAAATTATCCAAAATGGACACTCTACACTCTGTGGTATCACTTTAGTCCTGTTTTTAAAAGAAACAAAGCAATCCTATGGGGCTGTAAAGTGTCCATTTTGGGGATTTTACAAGTAAGGCCTTCTTATCTATTCCTTTTACATATTGTCTGCTTCAATATATATACTTAAATTTCTCTGTGTAGGACAATTTGTTACTTATATATATGTACAACCAAATCCCACACAGACCAACTAGAATTGTGATACACAAAACATTAATTATATACATGAATGCTGCTTGACAGGACAGATGCAAGTGAAGTCTGCTTAAACAATGAAAAACAGAAAAATAAAATATAACAGAATTTTCTTTTCCTCTTAGTTTATATTCTATTTCATAAAAAAAATGAAAACTTTAAATTTATCAATGTTTCCTATTTGTTCCTTATGCTATCAAGCACACAATATATTTATATATATATATATATATATATATATATATATATATATATACACACACACACCACAGGTCAAGAGCTTGAAGTAACCTCAAAATTAGCATGGGATAACTTGACAGAAGAGTGAAAAGAAAAGCAAAAAGAACTTTTAGAGGTATTTGAAAAAAAATGAGATCAATTATCAAACTTATACTTTGAGAAAATTTTGCAATGAATGTCAAAAATTTGTGCTGTAGTAATCAAGGTTAAAGGAGAATATTTTGATGGGAGCAAAATTTAATTATAATTTTTTTTTTCTTAATGTCATAATAAAACTAAAAAAAAAAAAATTCATGACTCATTTTTTTTTTAACCATGTATAATAATTTTCTCTTAATTAAAGTACAAAAGAATTTTAGGGGGCCAATTTAAAAAATTACCAGGCTTGCCTCAAATTTTTGAACTGCAGTGTGTGTGTATATATATATATATCCTTCCTCTCTGACATTTTCCCTCTCTTTTTTATTTTTTTTTCTCTCTTCCTCTAATGTCTTGATTCTCGCGATAATATTGTAAATCTATGTAAACTTCCCTACGAGGCTGGCATCCCGCTCCCACCCTTACACTGTAGAAACTTTCAAATGTAGTCATCTCTTCTACTCCAGTAGCTTCATACCTCGCACCTCTCGCCAGTGGAACACCCTCCCCAATTACTGTTTCCTGAAAGCTATAATCTCCAACTATTCAAATGTAATATCAATCGACATCTTCAGTTACCTTGATCTACCCACTATCCTTCTCCTCATCCTTTCTTCTATCATTTCTATCTGCTCTCGCTCCAAATCTTCCGCAACCCCCTGCATCCTAGTGGCTTCACGCCTTGCTTGGGGCGTAATGCTTTAAAAAAAAAAAAAAAATGTCTCTACATTCATTATTTTTTTTTTTGTTTACTTATTTCTTGTGTAAATAATTATTTTATTCAGTTCATGCTTAAAATATATATATGTCCAAATAAAGAGAAAAATTCTTTAGCATATATTTTTCAAATGTGCTTGATACTAATTATAAATATTTTTTTAAAATATATATATATATATATATATATATATATATATATATATATATATACACACACACACACTGAGAGAAGAAACATTCACAAATTTGGGTGTGTGTGTACAAGAGCACATCAAGTATTTGACAAATTAATGTAGCTTTTACTCGTGAAACAAGGTATCGCAAGAAGTAACATATTTACATCATTGAGTGGATATGAAATTTGGCAGGCTAAAGGGTTGTTGCTTTCAGGAGAGTACAATAACATCATCGGCAAGGATTAGGCAGGCAGAATAAAGTTAGACAAGCCGCTAAACAGGAACGGCATCTGTCTGAAGAAATATCGGCACTGGCTTTGCCAACAAGAGATGGATGTCAATTGTTTCCGCACAAGTAAGAAAGGATTATGTGAGGAGAGGTTGAGATTCTTCTTCTCCTGATTATGTCTTTGAGAGCTTGTCCCAAATAGTGAAGCATAAACACTCCTTCGTTCATTTGCCTAGGCTTTCAGGTTAAAATCCTCAAACCTATGCAATTAGATTAACTGAAACTATCAACTGGGAAGTTCACAGATTAATATTTAATAAAGTGTTTTCTTTTGTTTTTTTTCTCCTTTTAATAACATTCACCCCCCAATACAGGGCTACAAGGACCACTCCAGGTAGAGTTTTTTTCCTTGATTGAATTGTTTTTTTTTTATGGCTAAATCTTTGGCAGGTTTTCAGGAAATATTTTTAGCTTTTAAGAATTTGGGGGTAGATAATATTGATTTACTAATACAAGTTCTAACTAATTAACCCATAGCTGGAGAGAGAAGAGGTGGATATATAAGTCTCATAACACACAGAATTCCTGTATAAGTATAGTATTAGTATATTTTTTTAAAATAGTATTTGTTTATTTAAATTGTATTTATTAGTATTTAATTAGTTTTGCATTTCATTACAACTTAACCAAATCTACAACAGTGTACATTTGGTTGAGTCAGTCAGTTATGTGCCACGAGTGATACATGCATAGGCGATAATGTATCTTTCAATACATGACTGATGAGGCAGATTCTTTTCCGCAGTAGGTTGCCATTTCTTTCTGCAGTAGACCAGTTGCCATCCAAGTCTATAGAACTCGGTCTGTCCTGCTATTTACACATAGCTGAGGGGAGAAGAAGGATTCATACCTTATCCAAGGGTATTCACATGTAAGTGAATGTAATGAACTTGGCTCTCTGATTTCTCAATCCGAGCCACTATCCATAACTCCACAGTGTCTCCTTTGGGTGAGTACAGAATCAAAAATAATGAAGAAGCTCTGAGCAAATTTTGAGCTCTCATTTTTTTTCCTGCAAGATGAACTCTTCAAATTCTCAGCTGCTTTACCCATAAAGCTACGAGAACTAAATAAAAAGAAAAAAATCCTGTTTTGTAGAAAGATTTTGAAAGCATATCCCCTATGGGTTGTTCCAATGCCATATCCTTGGAAGAATATAAAATATAGTAAACAAAAAAAATAATAACTAAAAAAAGTTAACACATATTTGAACATCTCTTTGTACGTGTAGAAAACGGAAGTGATTGGAGGAGAGAAAAAATGTGATCTCATATAGGAGTGGGGTAGTTAAACTAATCATATTCTGAAATTTAATCACACTAGAATCATTTCTTTTGGGTTTTTTTTTATCTGTTGGTTTTTCTTAATTTGAACAAAACATCAAAGAAAATGAAAAAAAAAAAAACCAAAAAAACACCTCCAAAATGGTTGAATGCTTAATAGAAACAGAATCTAATTTGAATAAAAGAAAAATGCAATATTATATTAATCGCTACTCATATACAGAAAAAAATAAATTAAAAAATTTATTTGCAATGGCAAGAAAAAAACTAAGGCAACAGAGAGGAATCCAGGAATAAATTTTTGCTATCTGAATCTCTTAGCATCAAAGAGATTAAGAAAAAAAATATTCATTATTTCATTTGATAGAGCCAAATCATCCTCATTCCTTTTGTCTTTCATTGGTAAGGAGGAAGTTTCACAGCAACTTTGTGAAAAAGACACCCAAGAGTAGTCTTCCCTGATCAGTACAATCTTAAAATCTAAGATCAACTCTTATCTATTCTACATCTTAATAATTTTACTTACTCCTCATTCACTAACACTACATTGAGTGGCTCTTAACCTTATACTGGGTGAACTTTAGTAAAAAAATATATATCTATTTAAATTGCTTAAATTAATTTTCTATGGCTTATCAATCCTTTGTAGGTTATCGAAAGCTAGAAAATATTTTTGATAGTAAGAATTTTTTTTTTGAGATAATAATGTTTTAGTAATACAAGTCTTACTGATTAACCCATAATTGGAGAGGAGAAGAGGTGGATTTATATCTTTCCTGAGGGTATTGCACATAAGTGAATAGGATGAACCCAACAGGAATTGGAACTCAGCTATCCAATTAACAATTCTGAACTGTTTTCCATTATACCACTTGCATCTCCAAGCTTGCAGCATCTGGTATTCCCAAGTAGTCACCCATCTAGGTACTGAGCAAGCTCAACATTGCTTAACTTTGGTGATCGTATGGGAATCGATGTTTCAATATATGACCATAATTTCTTTATACTACCAGTACATACAAGCTTACAGTACCTGGTATTCCCATCTAGATACTGACCAGGATTGACTTTGCTTAACTTTGAAGATCCTATGGAAACCAGTGTCTCAGTATGATATGGTCATAAGTTCTTACCACCGGCACATACAGGATTAGAGCACCTGATAAGTGAATTTAACGAAGACATTATCCATTACCCCACTGGCACATCTAAGCGTACAGCATCTGGTATTTGCAAGCAGTCACCCATCTAGGTAGTGACCAGGCTCGATGTTGCATAACTTCATTTATTAGTAGATGTGTTTGGGATGTGGTATAGAATGGTTAAATGATCAGTGTCTGTCTCTTTACATGCGTGCTTGTATATGTGCAGAAAGAAAAACGAGAGATTAAAAGAGAAAATAAAAACATGGCATGTGTTTAAAACAAAAAAGAAATTTATACTTACCAGAAGCATCAGTAACAAATGTAATGTTGACATAACGAAGCTGTTTGCTGACCTCCGACACCCCATTTTCAGCCAAAATTTGAACTAAATATTCCTCACTTGGAATAAGACCAGTCAAAGTGACACTGCAGTAAGACACAAACAGGAGTCAGTTTATAAAACATGTATTTGAAAGAGATTTTAGGATATATATCTATATTTCTAAGATATTATAATTATTTACATTTTTTAGACAGTTATCCTCATCTTCGTTGCCATATTCACAACATTTCGGTCATTGTACGCTCCAACCTTCTTCATGTGATTTAAATTTTGAACCAAAGTTAGAAAGAGCTCAATACCAGGCTACAGCTGTGGTGAACCAAATACTTGGTGAGTTGAGATAAACGAAAATAACTGGAAGATGCATAGGAACAACAAGAACAATCTACCCTGTTTGATGAAATAAAGTGTTCGAAATTCCAACCAGCTAAAGAAGGCTGGTGCGTACAATGGGTGAAACATTGTGAATATGGCAATGAAGATGAGGATAACAGTCTAATGTAAATAATATAAATAGAGATTTTACAAGTACAAAAACAAGTCAAGCTGAGTGTGGAAGCTTGGTGAAACAAAAACTTGTAACACTATCAGCTTACTAAATTTAAATGGCATCTGGTGCTACATGTTCCAACTGAATATGATTAGCTCGAAACACTCAATAATATCAACTATGAACACGGCTACAATGTACTGACCATGTTTGGAAAATAGAAAAACATTCCCATCACTATAGATATATACATAAAAATCTACATATTCAAAAAAAAAAAAAAAAAAAAAATAAAAAAAATTAAAAAAAAAAAAAAAAAAAAAAATTTAAAAAAAAAAAAAAAAAAAAAAAAAAAAAAAAAAATTAAAAAAAAATTTAATACATTTAAAAAAAAAAAAAAAAAAAAACATCTGTGATATAACGGCTAATAGAATAGCTGAAAGTGTTTGGATATAAAGAACATTTGAACAGTTTTTACGCACGTCATGTCCAGAAAAGAAAACATTTATAAGAACACAAGTAAAATTGAATGAGGAGCCTAATGGCAGTAACTTGCCAATTGTCTTTAATGAAACTTGTATGAAAGAGGGATTTCTGGCTAAATATGCAAATATAAATATATCTTTAATTTCATTTAAAATTCATATTTTTTATATTTATTTTTAATTTGTTTATTCTAATTTTATTTATTTTTCTTTACGTATTCCTCTTTCTATCCAAAAATGAAAATGCACTAAACCCATTTTGGCTCTGTTATATTATTACTACCAACATCAAGCAAGTTTTTATTTTTACATCATGTTATTACTACCAATACTCAGTCTCTCTCTCTCTCTCATATATATATATATATATATATATATATATATATATGTGTGTGTGTGTAGCATCTGTTTATTCTAGCATGCCTGTTTAAATAATTTAGACTTATGTCTATTTTAGTTTTAATCCTTTCAAGTCGACAAATTAATTTCTTGGTAGCTGTAAAAAAATTAATCAAGAAAAATTACAAAATTTTCTTTCAAATAATTTTTATTTTCCCCAAGTACATTCAATCTCATCTGAGACCATTTTCAGGGGTTATATATATATATATATATATAACACCTAACTAAAATAAAGTATAATATGAATTATATGTATTTACTATTTTTGCTAGATACACAATTGTTTTCTTAACTCCTATTTTATTTTTCGATATCAAATCAATAGATTTTAGATTTATATTAATATTTTCCTATCTACAAATCTCATTGATTTATTGACAAATATTTGCTTTTAATTTTATTGCTAAATTTTTGAAACATTTTCAAATTAACTGCAATAATTTTAAAGTTTTTTTCTGTTGTGCTGATGAGGTTCTGGCAAAAGAATCAATTATTGAAACGCTACTGGTTTTGATTCATGCCATCTTGCTTAGTTTGAACATTCCATATCAGTCATTCTATCAGATATACAAATTGACCAAAATTCATGTACTCTCCCAAGCTTTCGGCTCAGATGAATTTTGGAGAATGTATTCTAACATATTTGAAAAAAAAAAAAAATCATTGAATATAACTGGCATAACTCAAAATATATATTTTCTAGCTAATCCCTGTTGAAGATATCTGTTCAGGCACATTTGTGTTTTTTCACCACTGACTTTATCTAAGAGAGAGCAGAAATACATTTTAAATTTTTTAAAATCCTTTTAGACCAGTTGCTACGCAATGCTAAAGAGCCCAGTCAAGTTGGTAGGAGAAAAGAAGGATTCATTTTTTTTTCTTTCTTTAAATATGATCATGGCTTTCCACAGTGTCTTATTTATTATCTAAGAATGGCTCTGACTTCTTTGGCAAGATGCAGGTGTAGTTTCCTTTTGGCCTTCTCCATGGTTTTGAATTCAGGAGTTTTTCTCCGAGATTGATTGCTATTCAAGAATAGAAAGCCAAGTCTCCCCTACTATTTAATACGTAGCTAAGAGGAGAAAAAATGGATTTGTACTTTTTCCAAGAGTATTGCTGAAAAGCAAACACATAATTTATTCGAGAGTTTAAACCGGATTTGCAAATTCACTCGATTACAAAAAAAAAATTCTTAATAGAAAGGAAAATATTAAAATTAAACAATTATGCAGGCTTAGAAACCATTATGAAACATAGGTACAAAGTTTACTTACCTATTATTAACAAGCCCCTTAATCTTTGGATGATATTTGACGTTCTTGTCACATTTGGGGCAGTTTACCCGATAACTGAGGTCTGTACGACCACCATTGTTTTCGGGACGACGCCATGACAAAGTCACCGAGGTTTTGTTAACCTTTAAGACACTCAGCTCTCGCGGAGGAGACGGGGGTTCTGCAAATAAAGGAAAAGTTAGAAAATTTTAATTTCTGTTTTGTTAAGGTAGAAATGAAATTATCTTTTTTAAACACATTGATTTCCTCTTAATTCTGTCCCATAATAAATATTGCATATTAGGTATGAAATGTACATAAAAATGTAGTAATAATTTTGGGTCATAAGAATAGACATTGTCTACTGCTTTCTGCTATAATTTTATCTTCAGATTTCATTGAAGGAAATGTTTTCTTCAGACTGTTCTTGAGTAATAATCTGATTGTCTATTAACTGTTAAAAACAATAATCCGGATCTGAGTTTAATACAACAAAATAAATCAATATGGATATTCTATCAATTTTAGAATACTATACTTTTTTTTTTTTAACAATGAAAGAAAGAGAAAGAAAGATAAAAAGAGAAAGAAAAGATAAAAAGAGAAAGAAAAGATAAAAAGAGAAAGAAAAGATAAAAAGAAAAAGAAAAGAAAAGAAGAAAAGAAAAGAAAAGAAGAAAAGAAAAGAAAAGAAGAAAAGAAAAGAAAAAAAAAAAGAAAAAAAAAAAAAGAAAAAAAAGAAAAAAAAAAAAAAAAAAAAGAAAGAAAGAAAAAAAAGAAAAGAAAAAATCCTTTTCAGTTATATTCAGAAACCTGTTTGCTGAAGTTTGCTCTTCTGGACAAAAATCCCCCCACCCCCCACAAATAATTCATTTGTTTTCTACAGTTTATCAAACTTTTGCAGGTTATTTAAAGACAGAAAATATTTTTAGATTGTAAGAATATGTTTTTAGAGATAAACAAAGTTTTAATGATACAAGTCTTACTAATTAACCCATAGTTGGAGGGAGAAGAGGTGGATTCATACCTTTTCCCAAGGGTATTTGTACCTAAGGGAATCTAAAAAAACCTGACAGGAATTGGAATATAGCTCTCCAATTAGCAAATTCTGACCCATTATACAACCTTCACATCTAAGCTTACAACACCTGATATTAACAAGTCGTCACCCATCTTGGTACTGACCATGCTTGACATTGCTCAACTTCAGGGATCATGTAGGAACCAGTGTTTCAATACTGAATGGCTAAATTTTTGAAAATGAATGTCAATTGTTATCCTCTGTCTTTTATTGTTCTCGTTCCTTAATAATGTTTTTTTTTCTTATATTTTTTCATACTTGGTAGCCCCCACCTCTGTCATTTTAGTGGTTTTATTGCCCTGCTTGGGGTGAAATGAATAAAAACAAACAAACTCTTTAATCCAGCAGGGACAATATTTGATAACCATGGATGGGAATAGATGAAGGCTTTTATCCAGTCAACTTTGACCTTCAAAAATTTAAATGGAAAGTCAATTGTTATCATCTGTCTTTTTAATTCCTATTCTTTATTGTTGTCAATCTTTAATAATGTTGTTATTTTTAATATATAATTTCACTCTCAGGTGCCTGCAATGTTTTAGTGGCTTTATTGCCTTGCTTGGGGGAAAATTGAAATGCCATCTCAATCGTTATCTTTTATCTTCTTAATTTTTGTTCTTTTATTGTTCTCTCCCCACTTAATAGGGTTTTTTTTTGTTTTCTCATATTCTCTAGCACTTAGTAACCCCTTGCATCTTAGTGGCTTTATCGTCTTGCTTGTGATGAAATTTCATCTTTTTCTGATGAATGAAACTGAAAATCCG